TGCCGGATACGACGATTTCGAATGCAAAGTAAGGCCCTCCTCAGCATGAGTCCCGTAGTCCTCGTGTTCTCAGCATGCAATCTGACATTATCCTTGCAGGTCTGGGACGTTACTCGAGGCGAAAAGGTTGGCTCTCTTGTCGGCCACGAAAATCGCGTCAGCTGTTTGGGCGTGAGCAACGACGGTATAAGTTTGTGCACAGGCTCATGGGATTCTCTGGTGAGTGATTTGCCGCCTGGATGCCAGGCACGCTCTTCTGAGATTGCGCTAACATCGTACCTAGTTGAAAATATGGGCATATTAAAGGATGTTGGTTTCAAACGACGCAAGCTTCAAACAACGAGCCGACAACCCGAGGATCGCCACGCATACCTCGCAAATATTCGCGCAAGATTGCGACTCCACGTGATGGGATCTGACGAAATCCGAAAAGTACCCATACGACGTGCGAGGTCTCGTGCACGCAAGACGATTTGATGAAGCGCACCTTCTTCCCTTATTTTGTCCTTTAATGTCGCGATTTGTCCGCTGCAGCAACGAACTCTACGGCAGGTCTGGCAACGGTGTGGAATTTGTTTGATCACCGACGCCAGACTGCTGATCAGCAGCAGCCTGCTGAACTGAGATTGGATCAAAGAGCGGACTGACGCGATACCTCCTTCACCTCTTTTGCCTCATGTTTATCTTCGTCACTGCCCCTCTTACTTTCTTCAGCTCCATCTTCTCTTACTTGCATTGCGATCTGATGGATTCTCTGCACCACATTAAAGTCCGCCAGCTCTGACCGACTCTCCGGCTTGATGGCGACTAGGCGGCTGTATTACTGAACTTCATTTGTCCTGCGTTTTCTGGTCCTCCCCGACCAACCCCCACGGCCGATTTCTGTTTCTTTGCGTTGCCTGCACTTTAGATGCCGTGGCTTTTGGTGCAGGCTTGGGTTCCTTGGCAGGGAGAGGGGTACGTTTTGAGCACAACGAAAGAAGACAGAGGGAGCCAAAAAATCGGGTTGCCAAGGTACAAAAGAAATACTAATTAAAAGGCTGCGAAGAACCCAACCCAAAGAGGTTTCTTTCTGTTGTGGGATGCGGAGTTGTTGTCAGCCATGGGATTGGGAATGTTGAAATGATGCTGTGCTAGGAATTCTCAGGCCTCAAGATAATACACTACGATGATCCCATCCCGGCAGCTTTGTTTCCCTCTTTCTTTTTTGGTGTGTGATGTGTCAAGGAATGCGGTGATGCGGTCCTCTTCTTGAGTGAGCAGCGTTGATGTGGTTCATTGAAGGACTTGTCCGCACGAGACACGATCTTGGCCTTGCACGATCTCGGCCTTGCACGATCTGGACCCTACACAAGCCGCATCCTACACAAATCTGGCTCGCAACGATCTTTGACCTAAGCAGTAGCAGAACAGCCGGCCCGGAGACCTCTCTTCTGCCTCGGATCGAAGCGCGCAATCAAGCGTGCCAATCTATTTGGCAATTCTGGACAACAGGGGATGAGCAAGGCCAGTGGTATTTGCCAGGCTAAACCAGCCAAATCGATGGTCACTCTGGGCCAAGCAGAAAGACGAACGCGAACGAAGAATGCAGCGTGCGCACTTGTTGCATCATATCGAGTGCATGGTAAAGCGATCGCTTCGGTGGGATGCCCAACTAAGTAGCCTCCCCGCGGTGAAGCAGATTAAACTCAACAGATGATTCGCCACCCGTCATGTAGCGAGCGACCAGCGGACGAGAGCGCGGATTGTCCATATCATTTGCTGGGTTGTTGATGGGTCGACCATGGCAGCAAGTGCCAGAAATTCGGCCGCGACATCGGGGGGGAGGGGGGGCGGAGAAAAACAACGTGGGATCAAAGCCAGGAAGGAAAGAAAGGAAAGACAAAGACGCGGACACGAGGGAAGAAAACAAGTAGAAGGAAGCGAGAAAAAAGAGGAAGAGTTTTGTGTGAATTATTCCTCTGTACGTAGTATGAGAGTGTAGATAAGATGCAAGTACCGCATGAGTCGTACAAACTAGGCCCCGTGTCATGGGACGCAACAGCCACGGAACGTGGTGTACCGAGAACCACGAACTGTCCGCGTCTGTAGAGTACGAATGAACAAACAGGACATGGAGAAACCGAGTGTGTAAAGTGCGAGAGGATATTGGTGACCACCCGTTTTGAGAGCGCAATGACGACCTTTCGATCTGGAGACGCCCATCTTCGAGGAAGAAAGAGAAGGAGTCGAAGCTGACGGAAAGGGCAGAAAAGGGAGGCCGTTCCGCGGAACACGACTGTCAACAACACCATGTGATACCCATCCGTCGTTGGACATGACTTATGGGTGGGTGTGACTGGTCAGTTGGAATCAATCACGACATGTATATGGCGCCGCTCATTAAACTGATGGTGCACGAGCATGTTCGTTGCATGGAGGGGAGGGGGGGGGGGGGGGCGACCAACAGATGCAGTTCCATGGTTCATGAGCAGTGTCACTGGTTTTTCTTCTTACACCAGGCTGACAAGTTCATTTCCGCGTGACGCGTGCCATTTCAGAATTTCATTCCATCATACATCATCATGCGGTTGACTTGGTCAGCGAGGCTACTCAAGGGACCCCCCCTCTCCCTGTGCCTTGTTGGCGCGGCTAGCAGAGTAAAGTATACCCCAGACAGTCGGAGGTTATCATGCCCTGAAGGAGATCCTCTGGGGAGAGGGGGGGGGGGAGGAAATCGACAAGGGAAGAACAAAAAAGTTCCCCGATTGGCATGTCATGACATCGGACGGGGCGAGTGCCGTCCCTTACCAGGCAAAGCCGACCACATTCTGGCCGTGGCCCACCCCGACTACAAACCAAATAGTGGTATCACATTGTCGGGCTAGAAGTGCTATATGGAGTACTCCGTGCCCGGTTTGAGCAAAAAATGACAGCCCGACCAGGGCTGGTCCCTGCCCAAAAGTCTCGCTTGATCAATACTCGACATGAGGGGATGGGAACAGGCCGCGATGTTTGACACAAGGAACGGAGCCAATCGTGAGCAGTCGCCTCAAAAGGTCCTTCCAGTAGCCGGCTATGCCGTCAGTCAAAAGTTCGCCGGGCGCCAATTCGAGTGTGTCAATGCAGGGTACGTATCTGGAACGCGCGCTTGTTGCTGCGTGCGCCTGAATCGCGCGTGCGTGTGTGGCGAAGCGAGCAGTTGGAAAGCCTGAGTTTCTAATTTTCATGATTTTCTGCACATGTGGGTGTGTGTGTGTGTGCGCGCGAATGCGAGGCAGCGAGGCAGGCTGGAGTGGGCATATTGAGGCTCAGTTGGCACCGACAGTTGGCATGCGCGTGCGTACTTTTCGAAGTACGTTTTCCATCGAGAAGCTACAATACGCTTGCGTCTGTTGCCATGTGCTTGGGTGGGTCGGGTTGGGGACACCGGCTACCGCCGTTGTGAAGATCATGTCCGAACCTGGACGTTAGTCGGCCACAAGATGAAACGCCATTCCCCGCGGCTGACCATCTAGTGCTTGTGTCGGATGCGCCGTGGCTGCTGAACACGCTTTGACATGTCTCGTCGTCGCACGATCCGGCCGGTTCACAGCAAACAGAGACAGTAAAGTGCGTCACCAGCGAGCCGACCAACCTATGCTGTCGGCAGGAGCCGAAAGAAGAAAGCAGAAATAGAAGAAGAAGCCTTGACGGTTAAGGGAGCCCAGGTTCAACCCTGACAGCCAGACGGTGATTCAGCCAAATATAGTGAGTCAAGCCAGGATGGCACGCTACGAACGGTCAGATATGGACATCACCGGTGCTGTCCAGGATCAGCGATATTAAACTGATCCGTAATCGTCGGATCCTCTGTCGCGACGACTCATTCGGTTCCTTGCCAATGACAGCATCGCCCGCCGTCGCTCGTCATTTGGGCAAACCAAGACGGGAGTCCTGCTTGCTGCGGCGCGAGCAGCGCAGGACGGCAGACGGGCAGGCCGTCAAAACCGGTCACGGCGCGCGCTTGGCGATCCTGGAGCCTCGTAGGGCTTGGCTCCTGATTGACTGATGGATGGGTTGATTGATTGCGTGCGCGAGAGCCAACCAAGGTTCGTCCTGAGACGTCCGGGGGGAAACTGAGGGTTTCACGCCCTTCCTGGGTGCGTGCTAGGGAGCAGGCTCGGGGGCGTCTTCCCGTCCAGCTTCAAGCGGCCCAGGCGGCCAGGATGCGCAAGCCTCGATTCCTGAACGAGAAAGGAGGAGGGCTCTGGTGTTGTCGATCACAGGGAGGAGTAGCGCCCGGGAATCGAGGGGAGAGGCGCATCCGAACTTCTCGTAGTCGTGAAACGTGATGCCTCCACTTGGCTTTCCCAGGGCGCGACTCGGAGCTGCTCGTGTCGCAAAATAGCAGCGACTCACGACCATGGTTGCTCGCGCATGAGGGGAAGGAAAAAAAAAAAAAAAAAGGGGATGCATGACCAGAGGGACGAACGGAAAAAGCCAGCCCATCACCCCCATGCTCTCGCTCTGAGCGCCACAACGTGCTCGCGGGAAAGTGCAACCCCAAATTGCCACTCTCCCAACGTGCTTTGCTGTGCAGCACGGCCTCCCTCCCTCTGCCGCTCCGTCAGCCCCTTTTCGTTGATCGGCCGTTCCGCTGTCGTCGCTCGTCATTCCCAACCCTTGGAAGGAACTGGTGGCTCGGCCGTCAGGTACGAGATAAAAACCAACGCGTCTGCTCTCGGGGGGCCAGACCGGTCTCCTCGAGAAGCCCTTTGCCGAACGATATCACGCCTTCTGACCACGATAGCCAACCTTCCCACCTAGCATTACATGGGACCCCCTGGCTCCACTCCTTCGAGAACATCATTCGATGCGACGCGCCCACGGGCGACCCATTCCCAGCGGCACTTCCGAAACCGACTACCAGCTTCTTCGTAACCACCCCCGGCCAGTCGAGACAGCATTGTACAAAACCCTGCCTCTGCCAGCTGGATCTATAAGTCGGGACCCCTTCGGCCTGTTTCCTCCCTCCCACCATGATGGCAACGACGACCGCGGCCCAAGACGAATACAACGACTTTATCGCCAAGAACAACAATCGTGACGCCCCGCATCCCGAGGATCGTGACAGTCTCGATCACTGCTCCCAGGACGAACTCGACGAGGAGACGCTTTATCGCAGCTCCAGAATAGACGCAGCCATGCGAGCGCCTACCAGTGCCTCGGAGCTCAAGCTCCCCCCGGCTTCATTCGACAGCGGCCGCTCGACGGGCGTCAAAGGCGTCATTGCCGATGCCAGGAGCTTCGAGACCGCACGCAAGTCGAAATGGACCGACAGAGTCAGGTCGGCTCGGCGGAGCATCTTGGGGATGGGCATGGCACACTCCAGCGGGGGCAAAAGCGAAAGCGAGACCGACTCAGACGTCCCCAGCGGTGAGGCCTCTGACGAAGAGACCTTCCTGCAACAATGGCGGGAGACGCGGCGGAGAGAACTCGAGAGCGAGGCCAACAGAGCCGTCCGCACCCGACGCACCAGCCCGAGTGTGCGGGTGTACGGTCGATTGGACGTGGTGGATGCCTCAGGATACCTCGACGCAATCGAGACGGTCAGTCGGGAGACCAAGGTAGTCGTATTCGTCTACGACCACGAGGTTCGTACTCGAGTCTCCGCCTTGCGGCCAACAGCAGGATGCACTAACAAAGCAACACTCGCAGTGCGACGTCTCTGCCACCGTGGAGGCCGCTCTCTTACCCCTCGTCAAGGCAAACAGCACCATTCACTTCGTCAAGGTCCACTGGGAGGACATTGAGTTCGACAATGCTGCCGTGCCTGCCCTGCTCGCATATCACAACCAAGGAGATCTGTTTGCAAATCTGACTGGCATTATCGAGATGATGCCTGACGAGGACACATTCGGCACAAACGCACTCAAACAGTTGTTGGAGAAGCATAAGGTCTTATGAAAAGTCCCTTTGTCCTACAGACTTTGACGTACTGGATACCCCATCTTGCGAACCCGACGAGCCTTTTCCGCACTTCCCTCCAATCACGGCTCATCATTTCCTTGCGTTTTTATTCTCTCTGGCCAGACTGGCTCTTCTGCACCGACTCGGCAATGAGCGCGTGCGTTTTGTCACTGGACGGATTCGCCAGCATATATTTTTAGGCAGCCCGGCTGCCCTTTTGTTTAGGGGATTTCAGGTGCTTCATCGCCGGTTTTTTTTTTGGAGTTATGAGGGTCACGGAAAAGGTGTGACGGCGGACTCGTCACACCCATGGTAATGACGATAATGGTCTTTGGCCGGCGCCTCTCGCGCCTTGTACTATTGGGATCTTGTTTTTGTTTGGGGCCGAGATCCGGACTCGTGTCCCGGGGCATCCGCTGCCCAGCATGCATGCGGGGTTGGACACCCAGTCAGTCGTCCCGTGGCGTCGCAGGTGGCCGTGACGGCGCATCGCCGACCGCGTCTCAAGAGAAGACGGGTGATGCTTTCGAGGCGCGCTGCATCTGGTACATGTATCAAACTATGTAATCGCGTGTAGCTCACGGAAACATGAATTTATGCCCAGGAACTATTCAAACGAGGTATAACACTTCCTTGCTGTGTTGCCTCCGGCGGCCCTACCGGGGGTCGCCTGCGGCGGGCTGGCCTCGCTCCAGTCGAAGTCCTGTTATGTATATGAAGAGCAGCTTCTCGAGCGCAGCGAGGCCAGCCCGCCGCAGGCGACCCCCGGTAGGGCCGCCGGAGGCATATGATGAAAACGAGATACCACGCCGCTTCTTTGCTGTGTTGCCTCCGGCGGCGCTGCCGCGGGCTGGCCTCGCTCCGCTCAAGAAGCTGCTCTTTATATATGACAGACTTCTAGCGTAGCGACGACAGCCCGTGGCGAGCAAATTTTGGTAAGACCACCAAAGGTAAACATTACATTATGAGTTCTTTATCTAAAATATATTATAATATCAATTATAATTACTCGAGGCATCGAGCGGAGCGAGGCCAGCCCGCCGCAGGCGACCCCCGGTAGGGCCGCCGGAGGCATATGATGAAAACGAGATACCACGCCGCTTCTTTGCTGTGTTGCCTCCGGCGGCGCTGCCGCGGGCTGGCCTCGCTCCGCTCAAGAAGCTGCTCTTTATATATGACAGACTTCTAGCGTAGCGACGACAGCCCGTGGCGAGCAAATTTTGGTAAGACCACCAAAGGTAAACATTACATTATGAGTTCTTTATCTAAAATATATTATAATATCAATTATAATTACTCGAGGCATCGAGCGGAGCGAGGCCAGCCCGCCGCAGGCGACCCCCGGTAGGGCCGCCGGAGGCAGTGCGTGCGCGTCACCAGAGTGGAAAGCCAGTGCCGACGCCAGATTCCTTCGCGTACGGAAGCGTCGCGTCTCGACCTGCGCACATGCTGCTGCACGGCCCACGATGCCCTCATGCCTGCCGGGCCGGGAGGGCCCCCTTCTCCTCTTCCTGCTCTCGCCGTCTCACGAGACCCCTGGCTTCTCCGTGCTGCCCCGCCGGGGAGCCTCGATCGGCTGCTGGAGTCGTCGGTGGCTGCCAGAGGGGAGGAATAGTGCGTCGCCGAACCAAGGTCGACCGGTTGGGCATCGTTGTGTAGCGACAGGGTGCAATCTGGAATAGATGCCAGGCCTGTCAAGGAGCCATCAGGGTCGGCCCCGCACGTCAGATGCCAGGATGCTCCTCGTCAGTTGGTCGGCTGCGCAGCGGCCACAGGAGAAGGAAGAAAATGTTTTCAGAAATAAACTCTTGCACACCTCCCGCCACAGCGCCATTGCGGGCTCGCCAAACGCGTCACGGTGTTTCCCGGCCAGTCGCGGCGGAGATGAGGATTCCAGCTTGGCCGCAGGCCGTCGTCACGCCGCTCGCCCTCGCCGTCCTGAGCCTCTTTGGACCGAGCAAACAGGCTGCCGGAGAGCAGAAGGTCGTCGGCGCGATTGAGCACGCTTCTGTGAGCAGGTTCTCTCTCTTTTTTTTTTTTTTTTCCCCCTTTCCCCGGGGACTCGCTCATTCTCTCTGCTGACCGTTGGGCCTATCGTCGCAGGCCGATGACATCATTGTCGAGTGGCATCAAGTCAGCGTGACGGTGCAGCAGGCGCTCGAGGTGGCGCAGGCCACCAGACATGACATTGAGCATGAGAGACTGCTCTCGGTCATGTCGCGACAGCACGGCGAGTGGACGGCCAACCATCCGCGACATCGCCTGCTCGACGCGCTGCATGGCTTCTCCAAGTACTATGAACGGCAATGGGTCGAGGTTGACCGACTGCGCGGCCTGTACAAGAACGTGTCGCCGTCGCAGAAAAAGGTGGTGCTCCTCGCCCTCTGCTCCCGCCATTCGCAGTTGGCACCAGTGCGCTGACCAGTGATTTCGCCGCATGCGCAGTTTCTCGAGGAACACCTCGACTACGCGTCCAAGTTCAGGGACGTCGAGCAGAAGTTGGCAAACAACCAGCACGTGTGTGACGATATCGTGGAGGCCTCGCTGGCATTCTACAATATTTCGAGCGAGGAGCTGCAGAAACACATGCGCGACAGGGAAGCCGAAGGGCGGCAGGCGGAGAGGATCCCCGTGTCCCAGGCGCTCAAACACATAGTCCGTGACTGGACTGAGGAAGGCGACTACGAGCGGAACGGGCCCTTTGCATGTGTCTTGGGCTCTCTGCGGCGCCAGTTCCCGGAACGGAGAACGGACGTCGAGGACATTCGCGTGCTCTTGCCGGGCGCAGGTCTGGGGCGCCTTGGCTACGACATTAGCCGACTCGGCGGTGAGGGGGATATACATATCATCCAAGTCGCCGTCTCGGTACTCACTGACATGCTCGCTGGACGCAGGCTTCGAGGTGACCATCAACGAATGGTCCATGTACATGAATGCCGCTTTTCGGTTCCTCGAGACGCAGCAGGGGCAGGCCTTGTCGCAGTCCGTGTCGCCCTTTGTCGACGGCTGGTCGCACCACGCGACCAACGACAACATGCTGCGTGCCCTGCGCTTCCCCGACGTGGCGCTCCCCAAGCAGACGGTCCTGATGGTCGAGGGCGACTTCACGACCGAGTTCAGAAACTACACGCAGCACTTTGACGTCGTCCTGACCTACTTCTTCATCGACACGGCCCGCAACCTCATGTCCTACTTTGACACCATCAAGCACGTGCTCAAGCAGGGCGGCATCTGGATGAACCTCGGCCCGCTCCTCTACGGCACCGCGCCGTTTGTCCAGCTGACGCTGGAGGACGTCATTACCGTGTCCGAGAAGATGGGCTTCGAGTTCCTCGAGACAGACGAGCAGTGCGGCCCCCGGACCTTTGCCACGTCGACTGTGCGGAGCATCGAGGCCATCTACAACTTCGACCACCGGGCACTCACCAAGAACGCCTACAAGGCACAGTTTTGGATGGCGCGCAAGTCGTGATGCTGACGGTGCGCGGAGCTTGGATCGTGGGCAGCTGATGCATTCTACTGCTTCTGTTAGATACATACATGCACATTGTCTGCCCCCTCATTCGATACATGTGTTCTTGAAACCCTCCCCACGTACAGTCCTGCGCAGCTTGTGCTTCCCGTGAGCCTCCGGCGGCCCTACCGGGGGTCGCCTGCGGCGGGCTGTCCTCGCTTCGCTCGTAACACAGCTACGTTAAACATTATTCAGATTTATATACTCAACGTTATTTGGATTCTGACCAGCTTCATGTAGTATTATGCCTCCGGCGGGCCGTCCTCGCTTCGCTCGTATTATAGCTACATTTAACAATCATTCAGATTTATATACTCAATATTATTTGGATTCTGATCAGCTTCGTGTGGTATTATGCCTCCGGCGGGCTGTCCTCGCTACGCTCGTACCATGGCTTACTTTGATAATGTTAGTCTGGCTCCATATCTCAGGTATATCTTTGATTCTGTCCAGCCTCGCTGCGCTCCAACTACTGCTGCCGTGGCCCGTCATCACCTGCGCGTCACGCGCGGTAATAGTCCCAGACACTCTGCATGCGGGCAGTCTGGCCCGGCGTGAACTCGTACTGGCAGGAGCTGGTGAGGAGGAGGAGGCACCAACAAAGGTCAGTCTGCATTCTCACATGTCCCGCAAAGGAGCAAGAAGAAGAAAAAAAAAATCAAAAGGCCAAGGGGGAAACTGAGGAGAGCTGACTTATCACTGTAGTCCATAAAGTTGTGAATCGGGTCCAGGCCCGGCTGGAAGCACGAGTCGCGGCCGATCGGACACCCCGACGTCGCCTCCGCCTGGGCGGGCGTGTCGTCGACGAGGTCGCCGTCGCCGCAGCCGTTCTCGAACGTGTGCATCAGGCCGAGCCAGTGCCCGACCTCGTGCGACGTGATCTTGCCCTCGTTCCACGGCGCGAACGAGCCCCCCGGCAGCGTGCCGCTGTGTATGGTGCAGCCGTCGGCGAGCAAGGCCTTGGTGATTAAACCGCCCCTCGCGTTGGCCGCCGGATAGTAGCACCACCCCGTGTTGCCCTTCCACGTGCTGGCAAAGTAGTACAGGTTGAGGTCGCGGTACGAGCCCCGGCGCAGCACGCTCTTGATGTACAGCTCGTCGTCGGCCCCCTGCAGGTTCGCCCACCGCGCGTCCACCTTGTAGTCGACGTCCCGCAGGACAAAGGAGAAGCCGGTCAGGGCAAAGTTGGCATTGAGCACCGTCATTTGCTGTGCGAGCGTGTTTATCTGCATCACTGGGGAGAAAGGGGAAAAAACGTGTATCTTAGCTATGATGCTGCTTTCTCTCTCTTTTTCTTTTCATCTCCATGATTTTGTTGTGGCGGGGGAATGGCATGTCTTCATCTTCATCTTCTTCTTCTTCTTCTTCTTCTTCTTCTTCTTCTTCTTCTTCTTCTTCTTCTTCTTCTTCTTCTTCTTCTTCTTCTTCTTCTTCTTCTTCTTCTTCTTCTTCTTCTTCTTCTTCTTCTTCTTCTTCTTCTTCT